AATAATAATAAATAAGTATATAGTATATTATTATATATATATATATATATATATATATATATATATATATATATACACACACATATATAAAATTTTTAAAATGAAAAACAAAAAAAATGTGTATAAATGAAATTCATAAGATATTTTATGAACGATATTGGTTTCTTTCTCAGGATTATTGGGTATCCTTATTATACAAAACTTTAGTGGATCGTGAAGTCCTAGATACGAGATTCAACAACAAAAATGTGCACTTTTATAGTCAATGTACGAAACCTTCTGCATTGTATAGTAAAGGAGCGATTACGATTTATGGCATAAATTTGTCACCGAAAAGAGTGACTGCCAGTCTGAAAGACTTCAAAATTAAAATTCTTCACAAATATATTCTGTCAAGTCCTGAGACTGGTAATAAAATGTTTTCAGAGTAAGTTTATAATACGTAAAGACGATATGACAAATGTGTTTATTGTAAAAAAATAATTATCAAATTATAAACAACATTATTTTTTTAGGGAAGTCTTGTTAAATGGTAAACCACTCAACTTAATAAACAACGAAAAATTGCCTGATATAAATCCAGAAATTATTATCAATCCTGATGGGCTTGAATTAGAACTTCCCTCTGGCGGTATAGGTTTCTGGGTCATACCTAATGCAAAGGTAAATTAAAATTATTTTACTTACGTAAATCAAATTTAACAATACACCAATATTCAAACAAGCTTAATTTAACAGGTAAAAGCTTGTACTTATTTTGAAGAGGAAATAATTGGGAACACTATAGTGAAAAATTTATCTAAACGACATAAAAATGACATTCAAGAAGATAATCAAAAAGTGAAAGAAGATATAAGTCAAACAAATTTAAAAATTCAGAAATTTAACGTAAAACAAGATAGAAGAAAGCAAAAAAACATCGGAAATGCTAATATGGAAAATCAGCAGAAAATTTGGAATTCTAAATTATTTGAAAGAATAAAAAAGATTCTGGACAAAAGACTGCAAAAAAAGAAAACAATGAGTCTATTTTGCAAAAATCATTGACGATCGTTTGGAAAAAAGAACAAGGAAGTTCATCTGAAGAAATGGAAAAACAGCAAAGTTTGAATAATACAGATTTAAAACAAGAAAAAGTTGATAATAAACTTGAAGGCATTCGAGAGACGTTAAAAAAATATAAACTCGTTTTGCTGCAGAAAAAGACTCAAATAGATGCAAATGATATTCAAGATCTTAAGTTGGAAATCCAAAATATTGACAATCTTGTGGCATTAATATCAAATATCGATGCTACTCTTTTTCATGAAATTATTTCAAACAAATCAACTGTGAATGGAATTAAAAACAAAATACAGAATAGAGAAATATTTAAATTAAATACTAAATTGAAAGAATATTTAACTGAATTAGAAAATTCCGCTATAACAAATACAAATATAATGAAAAAAATAGAAAAATATTTCAATATGCTCTATAATTTGTTAGAAGATAATAATCCAATACAGAATAATAACAGTTCTAAGAATAAAAATTTAATAGAAAAAAGAAGATTTAAAAGACATCTGGGCAGAAAATCAGGAAATTTAAAAAAATCAGGATACTTAGAAAGCGCTCACAAATAGATGATTTAAAAAATTATATACTTCAACAGAAGATAAAACGAAAGAACAATGATAGAAAAAAATTAATTTTGTCCAACTATATCAATAATTTAATAAAAAATGTTAATAATAAAAATAAATGCAATAATCAACGAGATTCTATTAAAAGATTTATCAAACGTGATACTTTCAAAAATGCTGCCTGTCATACCGATTATCAACATTTAGTCCAAAAACGAACAAAAAAGATAATATCTATAAAATGTGCTCTAAGACTGATAACATTCTGAAAAATTATCAAAGTTTAAAGCAAGAGCCTAAAAGGAGAAAAAGGGATATTAACAAAAGATTAGTTGAGATAGGTCTAAGAAAAGATAGTGTTTTCAGGAAACATTCGAAAACCGATGACTTGAAAAATTACGTAAATGATAGAAAGACAAAACAGAAGGACGATACCAAAAGAGAAGGTTTATTAATTCCATTTAATCCAAAAATTGCCGATAGTAGTGAAAATAATTTTTACGGGTTTTTTCGACGAAATCCTGTTAAAGGATTTCCTGAGACTGACATTTTTGTAACTACGGGCGATTCGAAAGAGGAAAATGGAAAAGATTATGATTATGTTGAAGATGAAGATAATGATAATGATAGTTCAGACAAAAGAAATACGCATAATCAAAAATCAATGGTAGATCATACAGAAGATAATATTTGGATTGAAGAAGGTGAAGATAATCATCGCAATTACATGCCAAATGAGTTCTTTGAAAATATCAAATTGTCCAATATAAAAATACAAGCAAGCTCTAAGGATTATGACGATTTATGGGAAGCGGAATTTCTACCTGAAAATCAAAAGTATAATAATAACAAATCTATTATTACAGATGTCGAAAAACAGCCGTCTAATGAAGAAAAGAATAAATATGCTAAAGAAAAAATACGCAGAAGATAGATAATTATTATAATCCCAAAGAGCAAGAATACAGTTGGGATAAAAGATATAAAGGGCCAGGATCCGATATAGGATATTCTTCAACATCCTTTGATCAATTTCCCAAAACTTCAATCTACTCCAATTATCAAGCATCAAATATTGATTATGATAATTATCATGATAAAGACAAATTAAGAGAAGAACAAGGCATAAGTATGAGCTTAGTTAACACAGACGATATTAATACAAAATTAACCCAATATTCTAGACCTTCTGCTGTATGTGCAGAATATTCCACTCATGATAACATTTTTCATACTGAAAGAACTAAAAGAAGTAATTGGGAAAAACTCGGAAAGATTTTTGCTGAAGAAATGATTAAGGAAGACGAAGGAAATGCAAGAGATTGCCATTGTAGAATTATCCGAGCATCTAATTCCCCAAAGAAGCCTTATGTTTATCGTACAAAACGTAATAATCCAGAAGATACAACTCAATTCATAGATGTTTCTCCAGAAGTTAAAAGTAAGAATACAAATATTGCGCAATCTGAAAAAAATGTTCAAAATTCTATGACGAGAGAGGAATTCGAAAAAATTATAGCGGGAGAGATACTTCCAAGTACAAATGTCACTGAATTTGATTGTGAAGAAAATACAACTACAGAAGCTGTAACCACAGATTCAAGCACATTGGATAATGAATTAAGCAGTACAACGCAAATTATTGATATAATTTCAACGGCAGAAATAGATAATATTTCCAGGCAATGTCATAATACAATGAAATCTACTACAATGAAATCATCTACGGATTCAATTTCACAACTTTCTCGAAATAATGATAATACTGCTGAATATATCACAAAGGAAACGTTTTTTCGTACCCAATCATCAAATATCCAATCAGAAGACAAGACAACGACGAATGATCCTACCAAAATTAATTCTAAGATTTCTTCAGAAAATAAGGACAGTTGGCAAGAACCTATTGTCTCCACTATTAACATCTCCACACAGAAAACGACCTGCGAAAACATACAAGATGTCACCAAGGAAGGAGAAAAAGCCAACCGTTCAATTAATTCAATCACCACAAGTCAAAAAAACGAAGAAAGGGACGACAATAATTATAAAACTGAATTAAAGTCAAGCAATTTTATCAAAGAAGCAACAAAAAGTATTACTGAAGAGCAAGTAACGACAGAAACAATTTTATCAAAGCGAGCAGCAAATGTGACCGATCACTCAAATGAATCAAAAGAAAAACAAAGTTGCTACAAAATGTAGAAGATAATCAGAATAGTAAATCAAAAGTACAGACGCAGTTGAGAAAAGATATTAATATGAAGAGATTAAAGGCTATGCAAAATCTTCCTCGAACATCATTGGAAGAACTCAATAGATATGAGACATATTTGACGAAACGCGCGGAAAAGATTGATAGACAAAAAGAAAATTATATGCAAAACGAGAAAAATTGTTTCATCAATATCAAGATGAATTAGCGAAGATAGTTGATGAACGGAAGAGGAACTTGAAGAGGAGGGAAATATGGGAAAAGTTCCGAGAAAATAATGATTTTCGTCAATTGATCGATCAGAGTGAGTTAATTGGTCTCTTAATTAATGACAATGTTAGCTATGAAAACAGCGATGAAAGTTATTTAATTCCTATGAAACTTCTTCCAAAACAATATAACAATATTATAGAGAGATCATATTTACTTGCAAAAATAAAGAAAGTGCGTAATCCGGAACACAATGAATATTATCAGTCTCTTCAAAACTTTAAAGTAGACCTAGATGACGAAGAAGCAGAAATGTCCAGATCTTCGGAACGCAAATATAATCTATTATATAAATATTTTCCAAAAGTAATCGAAAGATTAGACAATCAGTATGTATCAGAAGAAATATCAAGCTCAATGGATACATATCGAGATGATAAAACATCAGAGGAATTTGAATATGAAGATTTTACAAATCTGCAAAGTAAAAATATTGAAAATATTTCAGATGAAGAAAATTCTTCGTACAATCATAGTAATGATGTTTCTGAAAATATTGAAGACACTAAAGTCGAATTGGAAAAAAAAGATGAACAATATAAGATCAAAAGCGACAAAATTGATAAATATCTAGAAGTAGAAAAATTTAATAAAGAAGGAATATTTTTAGTCCTTCCTTGGAAGAATATAAAGAAAAGGCAAAAAAGACAAAGCGAGATAAATAACGACATAGCTCAAATGAAACACGAGGTAAATATTCTAATAATAGAATTTTATTAAAAGAAAACACTTTTTAAAATTAAAATACTTCTTTTACTACATTATTTTTTAATTTTTAAAATTATTTATTATTACTTTATACTTTATATAATTTATTGTATTATAAGTTATAGGTTGCATTACATCATTATATTAATATATTATTTTATTTTTTTTACAAGGTTATAGGACAATCACAATCAAACAAATTGATTTTGACTGAAGATAATCTTGAAAATAAACGCAGTCGAAGATATTATTCAAATAACAATATTCATAAAGAGGAAGAAAATGTAGTAGAGAAAAATGATATAAAATCAAAATATTTAAAATCTCAAACAAACAAACAAAATCGTAACGATCTTCTGGAGGACTTTATAAAAGCACATAAAAAGAATAATTTATATAATAATGAAGTTTATTTTGAAAGAAATGAAGAAAAATATGAAAATATATCATTAAATAATATTTCAAAAAATGAGAAAAAATTGTTACAAGAAGCAATTCCAAAATTGCAAGATGCGACTTTTGATGAAAAATTACAAAACCATACGAAATCCATAAAAGAATATGTCAATAATTCTGAAGAGAATTTTAATAATATCTTGATTTCGGATGAAGACAAATATAAAATCAAAAGTACTGCCAATACTATCCATACAGCGATTATGAATATAAAAAAATTCTTCTCAAAACTTCCTTATATATTTATGCAGTAATTTTAAATAATTTTTAACATAAATTATATATTAAATTCTTCATGTATAATTTTATAGATTAAGAATAAGTTAAATTTTTAATATGGCTTTTAATATATAATAATGGCATAAATAAAATGTGGCTTTAGTATATAATAATTGTCTGTAAATTGATCGGTTAATTGATCTACACGTGTATCATAGATGCACGTAACTTACAGACAATATTATTATCATAAATAAATATTTATAAAAGATATTTGAATAATAAATACTTATATATAATAATTTTACTTCATATTATACGTGTGATACTTTTCTTACCCTATATACGTAATAAATAATATTTATGTCTCTCCCTACTTCTACTCTCTTTTTAATTTTACAGTTAACATTTTAAATATAGACTTATTAACTTTTAATTTTTAATTTGTAACATTTTTTATTTGCCCGAATTTTTTTAGTATCCCTATCTATCCGATCAAAAACTCATCAAAAATTTTAATTCATAAATTATAATAATATTTATAATTATAAATTATTTATGCAAATTTTTGCAGATTTCCACCTATTCGTATTATTTCTTAATTAATGTTTACAATTAATTTTTTATATGGATTCATCGTAGAGCTTTTAATTTTCAAATTATAATTTCCTTATCTGCTTCAATTCTTTCTCATCCGAATTTTTATCCCCTCGAATTTTCGAATAGTGCTGCTATCAGCTTTATCAGCGAATTTTAATATTACACAATCTCTATCTACACGCGAATTTTCTCATTATCTCTCTACATAATTCATATTTTATGCTGGCTAATTCGGCTGTGAACTCGGCGTAATAAAAACAACAACGAGGACCGTTTGAATTACCGCACGCGTAAATATGTACATCAAATTAAAACGAAAAGTCTCATTTCGATTTTGAAAATTTCATATCTAATATGAATGAATTAATATTGTACGACACTACGTTTCTTTCGATATTCTCGTTGTATTATTTACGCGAGTAATACTTTCTGTTTGAACGAATATGCGCGCCAGATTTCATTCTGTTACGATGTAATAAGAACGCGACTGTCGCATTTCATGAATTAATAAGATTCTCCTTATACAGTCATTTATATATTATAAAATAATTACCTGTTTCCACATTCGGCACTCTAAACATCATATTTGTGTAATTCGAACTTCGGAAACCAGAGCATGGCGCGAACAAATATGGCGCGGCAAGAAGACCGAGCGTAGCGCGCGCGATGTGTCGAGGCGGCGGTGGCGCGCATAAATATGTAAACCGAATTAAAACGAAATAACTCGTTTCCATTTAAAAATTTCGTACCCAATACGAATAAATTAATATCGTACGATATTACGTTAAATCGCGATATTCTCTCGATATTCTCATCGCATCGTATTATTGCGCGAATAACACATTCTATTCGAATGAATATGCATGCTAGATTTCATTCTGCTACGATACAAGTATGCGATTGTCGCATTTCGTGAATTAATATAATACTCTTTACATACTACACAGTCATTTATGTAACAAAGTAATTACCTATTTCCATATTCGACATTCTGGACATCGTATTTGTGTGTAATTCGAATTTCTGAAACGCGAAAAATACGGAGCGTCCGATCCGAAGCACGGCGCGAACAAACATGCGCGGCAAGAAGACCGAGCGCGATACGTCGGCGCGCTGACGCGTCGGCGCGTGACGTCATACGACCTCGGGATAGTAAAGCAAGAGCGGCAAGAATTACTGTTTGAATTATTACACGCGTAAATATATACATCAAATAAAAACTGGCTTCGATTTAAAAATTTTGTTAATTTAATATGAAGAATTTAATATTGTACGATGCCAAATTGTGTTTTTATTGACATTTTCGATGGATTATTGTATAATAAATTATGCGCTAAAAAATAAGATATAATAAATGATAGTTATAAATGATAAATTTGAAATCCATATAGTCAATTTTTCAAATTTGATTATTATAAAATACTTGACATAAATAAAGGAGATGAAACTATTTTATATATATAAGAAATCAATTAATTACATTAAACATTAAATTTTGCTGCAATTTATTAAAGAAATCTGAAATATAGTATAAACTGTTCTGCAATTATATTATATTATACCTATAATCAAAGATGTTATTTATATTCGTAGAATTACAAGAAATGCTGTAACTACGAACAATTCTTAAGAAAATTAGGTCACTGATAATTAAAAAGAAGTCGTTCACATACATACTTACACTGTTGCGACATGATTAATGAGTTTCATAACGACACGATATATATACAATCATCGAATCATCATACAATACAGTGCACTTTTGATCATGTTTAAGTTCAGTTCGTTTTTGGAGACATCAGTACATAGTAAATTTCACTACATTTAATTTATAATATATTTAATTTATACAATGTTTAATTTAATTGAAATTATAATTCATTCATTTATTATTATTATTTTATAAATAATCTTATTTATTTTTTATTCAGTTTATTTATTATCTTTCTACTTAAAAATAAAAATAAATAATTCTGTATTTTCTTTTCATCTACTAGCTCTATTAATCTTACTCTAAATTTAAATTATTTTAATAATTTTATTTATGAATAATTTTAAATATTATTAATTTTATTTTCTTAATTATTACACAGAACATCTAATAAATAATATTAGTTACAAGAAATCATATTTATCATTTGTATTATAATCCACTGAACGTACAAATACAATTTTTGTGACTATATATATCTTTTATATAATATAAAATGTTGTGTTTTTAACTAAGGAGCATGATAACATCAATTAAGAATGTGATCAACATGTACGAAAGAGTTTTGTGCGTTTTGATGTTACTTGTGATCGTCCGTGCGAAGGAAATTTCTACTGTCAAACCTGTGGAAATTGTAAATTTCTTAGATTCAAGGTAATTAAAATTTGTTTAATATAATTAATCATTAATCAAAGATGAAACAGATTCCGCATTTATAAAAAATAATGGAAACATTATATTTCAAATATATATTTCAAATAAAAAATATGTATTATCTTTTTCTTAATGATATAATATAGTACAATTTTAATCCTTTTATTGTTTTATTTAACTCAAATAATTGTAATCATAACTGAGAACATAAAGTATGTTAATCATAATTTCACAATTGTTTGTCAGCGTATCCTTTAATGTCATTCACATTACGTTTCATACACAATAAACTGCTTTGTCACAACAAAATGCTGAGTTGAACTGCGACTCTGAATTCAGATTGCTTGATGCAATATTAATGTAAGATACAAATAAATTAAATATGAAACATAAAGATGTATTTTCAACAAATAATAAATTTACAAATATGATACAATTATTCATATAATTAAAATCATAGTAATTTGATTAAATATTTTATTATAGATTATCGACAGTTCTCTATACATTACCATATAATGACGAATATCTCACAAAGGATAACACAAAAAGATCACTCGTTTTGTTAAAGCCGTTATCACGAAATGAACATGAAAAATCATCAAAAGAAACAGTTCAAAAAACGAAACGATGTGGTATGCAATCTCGGAAAAATAAATTTCTCTTATTATCGACAAAAGAAGATATCGATAGAGCAATATTTAGAAATACCGATAAAAATATTAATTTAGGAATTCCCAAGCAAAATTCAAATAATATCATTACGAAAAGTGCAAGATATTCACGGGAGAATTCAATTTCAAACAAGATGAACGCTGAAACATATAAAGATAAAATACTTTTGCAAACTCTCAAGGACAATTTGAATGCGGATGATATAACTATGAATTTAGAGTCTCAAAAACAGATGAAAAAGTGTAACACAGAAAAATATATTTGTCACTGCAAAGAGGAGAATTGTTTTTCTAACTCATCAGAAAAAAATTCTTCAAAAATGTTAGGTTCTTCCAGAATAGACAAACCTGAAAGAATAAATCAACAGAGACTAATAAAACATGGAAACATAAAATCGGGAATTTTACAACAAAAATCACCGAAATTGTATTACGAAAATCCTTATAAATCGCACGTTCCTAATTTGGTCAATTATTTCTTAATCCAACCTTATCAAGAGAAAATGAGGAATATTCATCATGTACCAATTTTATATAGAATACCGCCCAACATTTTACCTCATATGGTTGGAAACTCAATTTCTTCATTTGATGATAAATCAAATTATCTAATTAGGAATAACGCCCATAATGAATATCCATCAATTATTCGTCAAAATCCGTGTGTTTGTTCATCTATAACCGAAAAACATCGAATTGAAAGTTCTAGCGTGTCAACTACTTCATCTTCGACGAATTACGATGATTCGATAATTGCTAGAGAAACAGAAAATGATATTAAATCAAATAATCCAATTGGTAGCACTGAAGAAGATGAAAAATATTTTTCTATATTAACTACAGAAGTTCCGAATGTAGGTGATGCGTCAGTTGATTTAAAAACAGAAACTAATTTCCACTCGAACTATTTGACTACTGACGAATCTGAAGAAAGTAACACCGTAAATTCTTTTAATTTAAATGAAATAATAGATAAAGATCTTAGAGAAGATTTTACAGAAGAAAAAGTCGAAACAGATCAGGATAATCTTTCTAAACTAACATCTTTGGCAGATATTGATACAAGCATCGCACCGTCCATCATCCATTCAATGAATGACGAAAAATTTATAAACATGGAAGAATGCATACAACTATTTGGTCGTGACGTATGCGTACTTAGTGCGACACCGCCAAGAATGCTTGCCAAACAGACGCAAAAGGATAATTCAATCAAATATTCTATGATTACAATTCCGGAATATGTTACACAACCATCCAGAAAAGAAACAACTTTAAATGCTATCAACTACTTGAATAATCTTAAGACAATCGACCCATTCTTTACAGAATCGTCCACTAGTAACATAGAAACATCAACTGTTAGTTTAAATGAGTATTTCGAGTCGACAAGTACAAAGATAAATGCTGATGTTAATAAAGATTCTCTGCGCAAATCTATTAAACAAATCTACAAGCCAGATGTTAATTATGATAAAAATAAATTATTTAATTTCGCAGAAAATACTCCAATCAAAAAGTTAAAGGATCAAACAGTTGACGAAACTATATATACGGATAAAAATAAATTATTAGGAAAGAGTAAAAATCATACAACGAAATTATTGTTAAATCCAAATAATGAGGAAACAGCAAGTGATGAAAAAGTGGACAATTTAAAGATTAATCACGAGAATTGTACAACAGATATAAATTTCACTTTAAATATTCCCTCTGAAGAAGAGACAACAGTTATTAATGACAATTCTGAAACCGAATATAATTTTAATGAGAAAAATAGAAACTATACGAAAAAATCAGATACGGATATCAATTTAAAAAAAGAAATTTCTCAGGAATATTTTAAAAAAGAACCTACAACTATTAGTTTTGTTCCTAAAACTGACTATGAAACAAGAAGTGATTTAATAGGAATAGAAGCCAATATCAATTCGAAAGAGATGAATGAAGGACAAACTACAATGCAATATTTTGACAATAATAAAATAAGTGATATAAGTAATAAAAAAGATAACATCAGTAATCTCGAGACGATTGTCGATTCATCGATAAGTAAATTACCATTTTGTGATAATACCTTGCTTTTAAATTCCATCAGAAAAGTCATCAATGATTTTGCATTGGATGCTCGTTTAACCAAAACACAAGATATTGATAAAAATAGCCTCCAAATGCAAGGTAAAAATTTACTGCCAGAAATCTTGCAAGTTCCATATATGAAGAATATTTTGATGATGCCACAAATAGAAAAAACGATTATAGAAAAGGTAAAAGATGTTTTATCCTATGTTACAGCTATTCCTAGAAGTGACTTCACAAACGATTGGTCACATGGGGTTATTAAAAATACTCTACATAGCATATTGGAGGCTCTTTCTGATTTTCATCACAAGCTGCCACCGATGACGCTCGAGGAACATCAATTCAAAGACGGACAATGGAGAACCAATTTAGTAACCTTAGCACCTGTTGTATCAAATCAAAAGTTGTCAACAACAACACCAGAAAATTTGCGAGAGAGTATTAAAAATCTTTTGAGTTCTTCGGCAATCGCATCGCAAGCAGATCAGCATATCGTACGAAACATGATTGTGCAAAGTGTGAAAAATAGCTTGGCCAATGATAAAGATGAGAAAATAGACGATTTGATAACTTACGCTCTAAATGATCTTCTACAATCTTTAAAAAACTCAAAAGATATTAATATATTAAATGACAGCAATGAATATATTAGTGATGAAGAAGACACGGGCATGATTTTTTCACAAAAAATACCAATGTATGATTACGAAATAGGAATAAATACTAATGATTCAATCTTGAATAGCAAAGACAATCTTGACGTAAAAGAAGATACAAAAGTGGACAATAAAACAATGCAAATCACAGATTATCAGGAAACTAAGACATTAGAAAACAACGTCAATGTATTAATTACTTCAGAATCCCCATATTTATCATCATTATACAAAGAAAAAGAAGAAAAAATCATAAATAAAGCCGTTGCTAAGACAGAAGAAAATCAAAATTTAAATGAGATGAAGAAAACAAACATGCAAGATGATGTAGAAAAGAAATTAACTGCGCCCAAAATAATTTATCATAAAGCTATTTTACAGAATAATCCTAGCATGTTAGCAACTTCTGAACTAAAATCAGAAAATGAAGAATATATAAAAAATCATTCCATCAATAATGAAGCTGTTAAAATTACACCAACAACTACAAATTTTATGCAAGAAACTTCACCCAATTACGAACAAATGTCGAATGGTATAATTTTAGAAAATGTGGTAGAAATTAAGGATAGTAAAGAAAAACATATATTAAATGAAAAAACATCGACTACTTCTTCACTCGATGAAATTGATCCAATAATAATATTAGAAAGAATTAAATCTAATTTGCCACCAACAAAGTATTACTCACCGGAGATTATAAAATACGTAACAGATTATCATACTAATAATAAAAATGTTGAAATTACAACAGTACCTACAAATTTTATACAAGAAATTTCATCCAATTATGCACAGATATCAGATGACCTGATTTCAAAAAATATAGCAGAAACTAAAGATGAAAGAGGCGAAATGGAATCTCCATTGATTTCTACAGTTGGCAATTTAATTTCATCTACAAATATAGAGTATAGAGATTATGAGCCTGAAACTATTTCTTTAATAGATAAAAATAATGTAAAATCGCCACAACAGAATTTCACGGAAAATAACGTCATTAAAATACACGAAGTCACTACGGAGGTTCAACGAACTTATGCGAAAACTACTTACTTCAAGACAGAACCTTCTACTTACGATAATTCAAGAATTAATTCTTCTTCATTAATTTATAAAATTACAGATATAAATAATAATGATAATGAGAACAAAAATAATAATAGCGACAATATAGTTGACAATAGAACGAATAATAGTAATAATGTTGCAAAAGCAAAAGAAAGAATTGTTTCTTCTTCTAAATCATCTGTAGATGATAGCTATTCTTCTCAATCATTTCCATCATCAATTACTTCCAACGATATTTCGGAACTTCAAAAATCACGACTTTATTACATCAATGACGACGTAAAATTACCATTGGAAATAAGAAAATTGAAAGATGGTTCTTATGCATTATCAATATCCAAAAATATATGTGAATTTATTTTAAAACGAAAATGTCCCTGCTGCGTGCCGCTGCAGGGATATATAGTTCAATTAAAAAATCAATACGAAGAGATAAATACAATGATTTCAACAACTATGGAAAAAACAAATCAAGAGGATATGTACGAAAATGATATTAAAAAAGATTATCGATCGATTCAACCACTTAATTTAATTAAAAGTTCAATGATTACGAAGAAAAATGACTTAACAACACAAAAAGAAGAAGATACGAGCACGCATAATTTATGGAAGCGAAATATGAATGATGATAATTTAGCGATTATTTCGATGCCAGTCGTTGATTTTGTAAAAAAATACAATTTATCGCTCGATTTCAATGAAGATGAACACAATCAATCAGAAGAAAGAACTTTTAATAATTATGAAAAGATCGGAAAAGATAGATTATTGGGTAAAGATGGCAATGCAGTTGATGAGTTTCAAAATTTGATAAAAGTTCGAGAAAAAAAAAACTCTCCAACAACAAGTTTTCCAATATTTCCAATTACTCAAAAATTTTTCGATTTGGGCAAGAATTTTATAGAAATTAGACTACGAAAGGCAAATACAGAAATGAATCCATTTGGAATAGATCAAGAATTAAAACTAGGTAATGTCAAAACTACAAACGACGTTTCAAATATGAACATTGTACGGAAAATGAATTTTAAAAATCAAGATATTACACAAGATATTACACAAGGTAATTATCATATAAATCATATGACATAAAAAATTAAAAACTATGAGAAAAAAATAATTATGTTTTAGAAAACATTTCTCGCAAAGAGGAAAATAAACAGCATGGAATGACAGAATTGATTAATCATAAAAAAAATGTTCCAGAAATTGAAGTTCATAAGGAAAATGTTGGAAGGCCGTATAGATATCAACGAAATACAAATGGTGTTGTAAATCAAAGAGCAGAATTAGTAAAATCTATGCTTTATTGGCTTAAAGGTCTCTTCGTAAATAAATGAATAGTGAAAAAATAGATTAATATAAATGTAAAATATAACAATAAAGTATTATACATATTTACAAAATATATTATTATTTTATTAAAATATATATTTAATAATTCTATTCTAGAAATTATATACTTTACTTTAAATTGTCTTTTTGATTATTATATAATTGTTGTATAATTGATAATAATTAAAATAAAATTTATATTATTAAATATTGTTAATAAAATATAACCTAATAATAATTTTTTCTAATTATTTTTTTCTTAACTTTCTTTCTCTAAATAATATAAATTTTCTTGAAATTTTATTATCAAAATTTATTATATCAAAATTTAAAGTTAATTTTGATTTTTTTAGTAATATTCAAAGAATTTTATAATATTCATTACCTTAATTTAAAACAAAGAGTAATTTATCATCTTTCTTATACATGAGCAAGGATCGTAACTTAACTTATAATTTTATTAATCTGCAAAAAACAGATATGTAACCAAATTATTTCAGTGCTAAAATCACATTAATAATAAAACAAACTTTAGGAAGATGTTACTTTATTTAGATGTTTACTTTTTTTACTTCGAAAGAATTATATTTCTTTATATCTAAAAATAATCAAATTGGGCTCCGTTTTTAATAAAAATGACGTATAGCAACATAACCTTGAAAGATCTATGAGGTTAAGTCGATCAGATACCGAATGCTTTGACGTTTCTGTGACGCGATTCGGATATGGGTTTGTTTGGCAAATCGCAAGAAAAAAATCCCAAAGAAATGGTGAGTTATTATAAAGTATCTATTTTTACTTTTATTTATTGGCATTAATCATGCTATAGGTTCAAGAATGGACTCACAAATTGAGGAAGGAAGGTTATCAGCTTGATAGACAGGTTAGAGGTAAGAGATATGAAAAAAAATTTCTAAGAAAAATCTTTAAAACAGAAGAATATAATCAGTTATTTGATAAAACTTTTAATTATAAAATTTTATTCTTACTTTTAGAATCTTAAAATATTAAATGATTAGACACGAAAGTGTTTATTTTAATTTTTATGAAAAAAAGGATTTTATTTTAAAATCTAAAAAGAATACTATTTAAAGTAATTAATATCTTCTATAAAATTTTTGATTAATCTTGATTATTCCTTTTATCTTTCCTTTTTTTATTCTAGATTTGTATAATCAATGTTTTTTTTGTATAGCAATTCAGAGAGAGGAAGAGAAAGTTAAACGTTCCCTGAAGGAAGCAGCAAAGAAAGGAGATAAAGATGTATGCAAAATCCTTGCAAAGGAAATTATAAGGGCTCGTAAAGCTTGCAATAAGATTTATACCTCTAAAGCACATTTAAATTCTGTATCATTACAAATGAAGAATCAATTAGCAACAATCAGAGTTGCTGGTTCTGTTTCTAAATCTACAGAAGTGATGCAAGCAATGCAATCTTTGGTAAGAGTACCGGAAGTAGCTGCAACTATGAGAGAAATGTCAAAAGAGATGATGAAAGCAGGTATTATCGAGGAAATGTTAGATGAAACAATGGATTCTATCGAGGATTCTGAGGATATGGAGGATGAAGCTGATGAAGAAGTTGATAAGGTAAGTAATAATGCAATAAATATATGGAATCAGTGAAATAATCTCTTTTTTTACAACATGTTTTATCAAGTTATAAATACTTAAAAAGGAAATGAATGATTTTAGAAGTTTTCCATTAAATATACATATATATATATATATATATATATATATATATATATATATATTGAAAATAATGATTTTTTTATGAAAAAGAAAACAAGTTAGAGCGATTATCCAAAATATTTTTTCGAATTGACTTCTTTTCAAGATAATTACTTGTTTCGAAATAATCTGTCATTTAAATTGATTAAAAGATTTTAAGATGTAAACATTTTGCAAATTCAATGCTCTAATCTCTTACCATACTAATTAGGCAGCAACATTTTGAATTATAAATATAAGATATTTTAACTATTATAAGAGTTAAGAGTACTAATACAAACAATATAGTTTATTCTTTTTTCTTGTCCAAAATAAAATATACAATACATCAATGGAAGTTAATAACAGAAATTGGGAAAAATCTGATGATTGAAGAATATGAACTTGCATTCACAGTGAGTTGAAACGAATGAGACGAAAGGATATTGCGGATTCGTGAGGCCTTGAGGAAACTCATGGGCCCATTCGTCAGCAGCTGACACTGGACCAGATACGTTTTTATCTTCTTTTCTTTGTCTTTCTTCGTTTCGGATCTGCTGTTCAGAATCCCACGCAATCAACAAAAGGATAGTTCTTGAAGAAGTTCTTACACAATTATTATCATAACAATTTTCAATATCATTTAAATTTTCAGATATTTAAACAAAGAAAAATTTAATCAAAAAGTCGTAAATCACATGTTCCTCAGATCATTGAGGATAAGAACTTCTACAAAATTTAAATCTTTAAAAG